TGGCTGATTTTTTGATTTATTGTAGAGATGAGGTCTCGCCAAGTTGCCGGGGTGGGTCTCGAACCCGCGGGCTCAGGCAATCCACTCGCCTCAGCATCCCAAAGTGCGGGATTACAGGTTGAGCCACCGAGCCTGGCTAATTTTTATTTTTAACAAATATTCTTAATTAAATTTTTTATTTTTATAAACGTGCATACACATGGTTTTAAAAGTCACTAGTAGTACTTCAGAGCTTATCAAGAAAACAGCAGACTCTGCCCCATACTTTTCTGCATTGAACTCTTCTGTTTATTCAGATTTGTCTCCATATTTCTAAATAAGGTGATGTTCCTGTTGTTTCCTGACTTCTCAGTTTTAGAACATACCCATTCTCTTTAGCTGTCTCACATCCCAAGCATCCTCTTCCTTTTCCCCTTCCTTGCTATGTCGTGTATAACAGTGTGTGTTTTTCATAGAGATGATGGACTAATTTGGACCCCACTATGACTATGTCATTCATACTTGTACCATGTGTGTGCACTGACTGCTCTTCTTCTCTTAAAAAACTTCCTCTTGCCTTGAAATTAATAATTGCTTTTCCCCCCATTTGCTTAGTTGTCTTTTTACTGTATCTATTCATTTATCTCCAATCTTGCAAATAAAACTGGAAGATTCCTCTCAAAATGATATAACACATCACTCCTCATTTGTTGGTTCTGTTTCTCCCTCCAATTCCTATTGTGGATGAATCCCTGAACCTTTCTGAGCCTTCCTAAAAGCTGGTTACAGTAGCCAGTTCACAAGGGGGTGGGGGGCTGATACAACTCAACATGTGAAAAGCCTACCATAGACCATAAGTGCTCTCTGGTTGTTAGTCCACTTAGCAGAACAGACCTTTGCTGTATCAACTGTGTACAGTCAGACGGTGCCAGGTACTGTTGAGTGGCAGAGGAGAGGATAGACAGGGTGTTCTTTTCAGGGTATGAGTCATCTAGTGTTGTGATTTTTCCCCCAGTGTTTTTGGTTTTGGGGCTATCAGGCTTACTCAGGTAGATCATAAGTGCATTGTAAGTTTCTAACCCAGTGTTTCGTGTGAGAGAGCACCCAGTTCCATGTTGCTCCTGTTCTCCATGGCCAGCAGTTTTACGAAGTCTTTATTCTCTGTGGCATGGCTAGTATTCAAGAATACTTCCAAGTCATGGAAGTGATGATGCTACATCCCACCAGAGTAAGAGTCAGGAAAGCCTCCCATCCTGAAATCGCAATGTAGCATGCTTCGTTATTGAGTAACAATTGAGTATTCTTTGTAAGGGAAGGCAACTAACAAGTCACCCACAGGGAGGTGAATTCACATGTTTCCTGGGGCGCTTAAAAGTGTGATCAGTGAGCGGGGCTCGGTGGCTCAGCCTGTAATCCCGTGCCTTTGGGAGGCTGAGGTGAGTGGATTGCATGAGCCCGCGGGTTCGAGACCCGCCTGGGCAGCAAGACCTCATCTCTACAATTAATCAAAAAATCAGCCGGGCATGGTAGCGCGTGCCTGTAATTCCGGCTACTCGGAAGGCTGAGGCGGAAGGATCATTGGAGCCCAGCAGGCGAGGCTGCGGTGGCCGGGAGCGGCCACTGCACTCCAGTCTGGGCGACCGAGTAAGACTCCAACTCAAAAAAAACAAAAAACAACAACAAAAAAAGTGTGATCAGTGGACCTCTGTGCTCACTGCTAGAAATGAGCTGACTAGAAAATTTTAAAAGGTTTTTAGAACAAGGAACTCCTTTTCAAAATTCTTCAAACCCACCTTACGCAAGACAGAGAAAGAAAACGGTAACTTGAACAGGGTCACCAGTGCCAGTTCATGATTGCTTATGTGACAGAAAATTCCAGCACATAGATCACTTAAAAAACAAACAAACAAACAAAAAACTCTTGGCATTAATTTAAAAATACATAGTGAATACTTGGCACTATTAGGGTGAAAAATAGTATTTTCCCAATTTATAGTGCCTGTTACATAGTAGGAAGGTGTGTATGTGTTTGTGTGTGTATGTAACACAAGCATGAAGTATTTAGGTTCACTATCTCTAAGCCTAAAAGGGAAGACATTGAGAGCACTAGCTCTAAATGTTTTTAAATTAAGGGCTGTTGAGAAATGAGCAATCATATGTGCCATTGATCAATGACTCCCTTTTCTTTAACTAGTACAGAAGTTTTATTTGTTTGTTTGTTTTAATCAACTATCTTACATTCCTACTATGAGCAAAGCATTATGCCAGGGATGAGGCAGCTTGACTCCTGACTTCTAGATGTTTAAAGACCTTCGAAGCCAGGCTCGGTGGCTCAGCCTGTAATCTCAGCACTTTGGGAGGCCAAGGCGAGTGGATTTCCTGAGCCCGCGGGTTCAAGACCAGTCCAGGCAACTTAGCGAGACCTTGTCTCTACAATGAATTAAAAAAAAGAAAAGAAAAAGACCTTTGAGAATCCCCCAAAGTCTGGCCAATTTCATTTCCATTAAAAGTAACATGACTGTTTCTAATTTGTGCTCATGTTGACCCTCTCAGGCTTAGGTCCAGGCCCGGTTCTCTTCCTCTTCCAGCATTTCGGTTACCTCTGTCCCCACATGTGTACCTCTAGCCCCCTCGTGTGCTTTGTGCTCTAGGCTCATGTCCCACATTAAATCTCCACGTGGATATAGATCATACCCCAAGTTTAACATGTCCAACGAATCCTACAGTGAAGTTGCCACCATCCAGTTCCATGACATTTCTATCCCCTACATTCTCTATGTTTAGTCCCCCACTAGGTCACACTGACTTTATCTGTTATACGTCTGTCATCCCCACACACTCCTCCCTTTTTCCACACCCAACCTCCTAGCCCGAGTCACTGTGATCTCCTGCTTAGATGATGGCAAGAGGTTTCTCTTTGGTGTCCCTTCTTCCCCTCTGACTCTTCTCTGGTGCTGTCTTTTTCAAAATGTGAATCCAGTCAGGTTACCCCCTTTGCATAAGACCATTCGACAACTTCCTATTGCAAAAATCCGAAGTCCTCAGTGTGGCCTGAGGCCTGCATGGCTCCGTTGGCTGTTTGTTCCCACGGAGAACCTGGAATAACCTCTACTGACTCCTTCAGGTGACCTTCCGGCTGCTCTTCAGGTCTTACCTCCAAAGAAACTCCCACAGGAAACCCTCCCCCAGCCCTTAAACTATCATAGTACAGTGTGCCTGTCCTTCCTAGCATTAAACACAGCCTGCAGTAGTACTTTTACTTGTGTGATTATTGATCAGTGTCCATCCCCCATTGGACTTCAAGGCCCATAAGAATAAGGGCTGTGTCTGTTTCGCTCCTCCTCCTCTGTATATTCCTGGCTCAAGAGGTGGGTGGGGCTGTGTCCTGAAGGACCTCCTAAGCTATTTGGAATTTACCATAGGACAGTGGGAAGCCTTTGGAAGATGTTAAGCAGAGAAACTGTATAAGGGATGAATCCCCTTAAATGAGGTGTTGAGAAATGCAGACGAATACTCCCAAAACATAGAAGTGAGGCAGCGTGACAGTAACTACATGTCAGCACTGTTCCTTCTGCATTCTGCTTCTCCTATTCCTCTTCTCTCAATCCAGTGAGGAGAGTGACCCGTGGACCCTCGCAGCCAAATACTTGATTGTCATCTGCTTATCCATTTGAACAATATCGATTGCATTTTTAAGTACATGCTTGGCACTAAGAGTAATAAAATGAGACGTGGTCCAGGATCAACTATGTATCTCTAGTCCACATCTTCCACTCCAGTAGGAAAGACTGCCCAATAAACAGAGTATCATCCAGTGTGGAAGTTGTTGCCCGGTGGTGTGCAGCCCAACACTTGCGAATCTTTGACTCACTACTGAAAAGAATTTCGGAGAGGTCAGTATAGTTTTAAAACAGAATTTGTTAGAGAAAGAGAAACATGCCAAGGCACAGGCATTTGGGAGTACATCGTGCTATTGTTTTTGACAAGAAGCTTGATATATTTTCACAATAATTATCAGGCTAAAAAGGGTGGGCTACAGATAGCCACTCTGGCGAGGTTACCATCACTCCACCTCTGCTGAGCTAAGGGGTGGCCTTTTCCTGAACATACATTTTGCCCTTCTTAGGGAACTTGATAGACTTTTATTATGTCAATCCATGAACTAAGAGGTGGGCTTTTCTTGGATGAACTGAGGGAGTGGGATGGACCAGCAAGCCCACATTCTAGCCTGCAGGGTGGTCAGGCCCATAAGAAAGATATCTGAATGCTCTCCTATTAAAAATGTAAAACTGCCTATAAGAAATGTATCTATCTATGTATAACCTATAAGTGAACACCCTGCCTCAGAAGGTGCTATAGGACTGTGTGGGGGTTGCCATTAAAACACTTCCCTGGCAAAGCCAGAAAATGCCTCACAGAGGAGGTGGCCTTTGAACTGGTAGGAGTGGTGGAGCTTTGTCAGGTAGAGACAGGTGAGGGGGCATTATAAGCAGCTGGTACAGAATATGCAAAGGCCCTGATCTGGGAAAGTCCATGTCCTACTGGGGAATGGCTTTATCTCTGGATTTGTGGGGAGGGTGGCAGGAAGACCGGGAGAGAGAGAGCTATGTGTAGGTCATATTGTAAAGGGTCTGGTGTTCTTAACTCAGGGTGTGAGTACCATATTGTGGGCTGCCAGAAGTCAATGGGCCCCTCTCAATGTCTCTGAATTAAAAACAGTATGTGAGGAAATAAGTCATCTTAAAGGCCAAATGGTTGATTCAGAAAAGCAGTGACTAAGCCAGGAAGAGTAACGATCGTCTGAACCCAAGAAACATGAAGGTGATTGATTAGGTCCTGTGGGATCTGGTCTCGTGGGATCTGGTCCTGTGGGAGGCAGACTGGGATCAGGGCCTCTACGGGAAGAGAGGGTCTTGTTCCCAACCACCTGGCGCGGGCCTGCCCCAGAGACCAAATAGTGAGCCTGGCCGCAACCTTGTGCAGGCACCATTATGACAGCTGTCTGGATTTGTGTTTTGCAGTTCCATGGAAAACGGGAGGCCACCAGATCCCGCAGACTGGGCCGTGATGGATGTCGTCAATTATTTCCGAACGGCAGGGTTTGAGGAGCAAGCGCGTGCTTTTCAGGAACAGGTAACTCCGTCGGGAAAAACACACGGGAGCACAATTACCTCCAGTCCCCACAGTGGGCAGAAGGGAATGAGGACGAGGAGGACCAAAGAACAGTGAAGGAATCTGAGAGACTCTGAGAAACTGAGGGGAAGGAGATGGGAGTGACAGGCTGATGATTCCTTCGTGCAAGAGAAAAATCCAAGGCCTGAGACAGTTGCAGCTGCCAAGAGAGCTAAAAGCCCATTTACATCTGCATCTTTTGAAAGACTGATCAGTCTCAGGGGTGGAATGATCAGCGCTACCTTCAATGCAAACTAGAAAGCAGGAAACAGAAAAGAAAGAAAAAGGGACAAGGCTAACCCAGAGACATGCAGCTCCCTCTATTCCTGGTCTTGGCACCCACTGAACTGTTAAGCCCCCTGAAGTTTGCTTTCTGAGCAAGATAGAGTGAGAAAAGCACAGGATTTAGAGCCAAATCCTGGTTCTTCTCTGTGTGACCCTGGGCAAGTTCCTATGCCTCTCTGAACTTTGGTTTCACATCTACATCTCTTTATAGGGAAGCTATGGTGAGGATTTAAGGACAATATTTGCACAGTCCTGAGGGTTAGTCCTGGCATGGTGTCGATGCTCAAAAATGGGAATTCCTTTCCCTCAGGTCCAGGGTTGGTATCGGAAAGAGGGAGGGAGGGGTAGGGGTCCCTCCCAGTTGTCTAGGTGATTCATGACTCCATTTTGCAGGCTGTGCCAGGCCTGCAGGGATAGTCCCCAGATGCTTTGGCCCAAGGAAGCAAATGAGGGTACCATGCTGTCGTTCATACCAGGACACCTCTATAGGGAAACACAGAGTTCCTGGTACTCTGTTGATGAGGACTGCCGTTTTCCAAGCCTTGAATTTGCTTTTCTAATGTTATAATGTAGTCGAGAGAACTCTAAACAAAGGATGTGTCAGGTGCTTGTGCTACGTCTCTTTGGCCATTGCCTGTTCTTTCAAGTTAGGGGGTGGGCGGCCTGAGTGTGGATAAGGTCAACTTTTCTAATATCACACACACCAATTCTAGGTTTCTTTCAACCAATATTTTCCTCCAACTTGATCATTGTACATTTGAATGTCTAGTTTGGAAAATTTGTCAAAATAGCAGCTTAGCTAGCCAGAAGAGCTAAAACGAGAAAGACTGGTGGTGCCAAATGCTTGCAAGGATGTGGAGCGCCCAGACATCTCTTGCATTGTTGGATGGAATGTGGTAAACCTTCCTGTGTCTAGCTCACGCTCCAGCAGTCTCACTCCTGGGTCTATGCCTAGACAGGGTGTATGCGTAGGTCACTGCATATACACAGGGTCTGTGCATGGGTCACCGCATATACATAGGGTATATGCACGGGCCACTACATATACACAAGGTATGTGATTAGGTCACCACAGAGACACAGGGTATAATGCGTGGGTCACCAATGGAAATGCAAACATGTGCTCATAAGAAGATCTTGTTCTTAGTAGCTTTATTCATAAGGGTCAAAAATTAGAAGCCTGGGTGCACCTCAATAGAATGAATGTGCTAAAGGTGGTATATTCATATAACGTGATACTCTACAGCAACAAAAAAAAAATGTACCGTTGCTATACACGACCATTTGTCTAAGTCTCAGAAACGTGCTGCTGAGTGAGAGAAGCTTTACACAACCAAGTTCATACTGAAGGGTTGCATTTAGATCAAGTTTCAGGACAGGAAAAGGAATGGATGACAGAAAAAAATCAGAACAGCAGTTGCTTCCGACGAGGTGGATGGAGAGTGGTGGAAGGGTATGAGGGAACTTTCTGGGTGATGGTAACATTCTGTACCTTGATACGGGTCTGGATGATGGATGCATGATGGATCACATTAAATAGGATATATGCGTGGGTCACTGCATATACACAGGGTATATGCAAAGGGCACTGCATTACCCTGGGTATCTGCATAGACCACTGCATATACACAAGGTATGTGATTTAGGTCACCTCATCTATACAGCGTATGTGCATGGGTCACCGCATGACACAGTATGTGCATGGGTCACTGCATAAACACAGGGTATATGCAAAGGTCACTGCATGTATACAAGGTATGTGATTAGGTCACCACATATACACAGGGTTTATGCGTGGGTCACTGCATTACACAGGTTGTGTGCATGGATCACTGCGCATACACAGGGTATGTGCATGGGTCATTGCATATACACAAGATATATGCAAAGGTCACTGCATATACACAAGGTATGTGATTGGGTCACCACATATACACAGGGTATATGCATGGGTCACCACATATACAAGGTATGTGCATGGGTCACTGCATAAACACAAGGTATATGCAAAGGTCACTGCATATATACAAGGTATGTGATAAGGTCACCACATATACACAGGGTATATGCGTGGGTCACTGCATTACACAGGGTGTGTGCATGGATCGCTGCATATACATAGGGTATGTGCATGGGTCACCACATATAAATAGGTTATATGCGTTGATTACTCTATAAACACAAGCATATGCAAATGATTTGGATTTGTGCATTGGAGAGCTGTAAATTTTACCCCAGAAAGAAAAGAACTGTACAGATATTAAACAATGGTATGCAAATAGAAGTGTTTTGGTGAGGAAAGCATATTGATGTATACAAAACTTACTTTTAAATGCATCAGAAATATGGACTGGCAATTAAGTAGAGGGATGACTAGATGGAAAGATATATGATAATGTATACAAAATTTCAATTGTGGAATCTAGGTGGTAGAAACATAGGTGTTTGCCCCACAACTCTGATAACTTTATGTTTGAAAAATGTTGTAACAAAATCACAGAAAAAAAAGAGCCCAGATTGGGAAGTGGCAGGCCGCTGATTAGCTAAAGCAGTTTATTTTGCTTTTTCATGCTATAAGAGCCATTTATGGCATTGTAGTTAAGTAACTCGCTTCTAAAATTAAATTTAAATGATATTGTAAAAAGTTAACAAAAGCAGTACTTAGCTAAAAGGTCTCTTGGCCAGATCCCCGGCTTCCCAAAAGCCCTTTTCAGGTTGAGCTTTTGCTCAGACTTCTGAGGCAGACATCCCAGATTGGGGTGGGGCACATAGTGCTCTCTGGGCCTTCCAGATTCTGGGTGGAACCTTAGGAATGGACTGCCAGCTCTGAGCTTGGCCCACAGTCAGACCCTTTCTCTCACGGATGACCTCATTCTGGCACCAGGGACACTGGGAAGCAAAAAAGGGAACACAGTCTCCTAAACCGTTTCATTCAGAAATCCTTCATGGGAGACATGGGCATCATCTTGCTACAGTGTTGCACCTGCCAACTCAGGAGCCTGAGAAATGAATTCTCAGAGGACTGGCATTTTGGCAAGCGTGACCCAGAAATTTGAGTTCCTTCATTCTCTTGGAAGGGCCCTTGGGTTGGGGAAGAGTCTCCCTTGAGTTGTTCTCTGGCAGTGATCCAAATCTTTCTCTTGCTCCCAAGCTCTCATGTTTCCTCTATCTGTTAAAGGAAGCAGAGGATGGGGGGGAGTCACTGGGCGGGCTCAGGCTGGTAAGACAAGTAGTGCTGTGATTTTCATGAGGACTGGGATCAGATCCTCCACTACATTCACCTCTCTCACTATCGTGCAAAGGCCACGAGCATTTCCCCTCCAGAGTCTTCCTGGCAATGAACCTCAGGCAGCCTGCACTCATCATCCTGATGGGAAGACGGCAGGCCACCTCCAGCCCAAGCACATGGCCTCTCCAGGCATGTCTAGGTCACAGCAGCTGAGAAACTATAGGAATGGCTACATCCTTAAATCTCCCTGGGGAAGGCTTTGTCCCGCCATTTGACAGAAGCAGGGCAGGGATAGAGAACATCCCCTAAGCCACCTTTGAAAAGGGCAAGTCCAGAGAGGGCAGCCTGACTGCAAGGCATTTGGAATCTTATTGTTTTATGGCTGTTACAGGCTGAGTATTTGTGTCCCCTCAAAACCCATATGTTGAAAACCTAACCCCCCATATGAGGGTATTAGGAAGTAGGGCCTTTGGGAAAAAATTAGGTGTAGATGAGGTCATGAGGGTAGAGCTCACACAATGAGATTAGTGTCCTTATGAGAAGAGAAAAAGAGTTTGCCCTCCCAGGATACAGCAAGAAGGTGGCCTTCTGCAAGCCAGGAAGAGAGCCCTCACTAATAACTCAACCATGGCGCCCTGATTTTGGACTTTCGTCCTCTAGAACTGTGAGAGATACGTTTCTGCTGTTTATGCCATCCAGTCTATGGAATCGTGTTTATGGCAACCTGAACTAATTAAGATACTGATATTGCCTGAGCCCACGGGTTCGAGACCCGTCCGGGCAACTTGGCGAGACCTCATCTCTACAATAAATGAAAAAAAAAAGTTAGCCTGATGTAGTAGCGCGCGCCTGTCGTTCCAGCTACTTGGAAGCCTGAGGCGGAAGGATCTCTGGAGCCCAGCAGGTTGAGGCTGCGGTGGCCGGGAGCGGCCACTGCACTCCAGTCTGGGCGACAGAGTGAGACTCCAACTCAAAAAAAAAAAAAAAAAAAAAGATACTGATATTGATGCCAAACGCATCTATCATCAGATGGGCTGCATTTTAGGAGAGTGTCTATCTTCGTGGTATGGTCTCACAGCACACTCCTGGATATTGTGTTGCTGTAACAACCAGACTCAGATGAGTCTTTCTAGCAGCATGTCACCTTGGAAGATGTCAGGCCATTGAGCAAGATTTGTCCGAGGGCAGGAATGGCATCCTGTGTTCTTGTGGTATGGAGAGGCAGCTGAATTAACCTGGTGATCTCTGCCTAACCTCCTTTTCCCCATGTGGGAACCCTGCCGCCACATTATAATTATCTTCATTAAGTTTTCCTCTAGTGCAGTTATCTCCATCAGATTTTCTTCTGGCAGTCCTCTTTTGAGCCTCCTGTGTTAGCCACAACTACCAGCCCAAAGAATTATCCAAAAGGAAGCCCTAGCTGTGTGTGGTGGCTCACGCCTATAAT